TTCTCATGCCAAATTTCATGTTTTGCTCCATCAGTTCACATTATACCAAATGGTTACGTTTGAGAAATATGGTTCTATTTTAGAACTTTTCGTAACTGAAATGTTCGAATTTTCACAAACCCTTTGGTATGTTTATCCTGCACTCCATCAGTGCCTTTCATTCAAAATTTCTAGCTCATGCCGTTTGTACAATACAAATAATTAAATTTTCAGCACATTTTCATACTTTTCATATCCATTAAGTACGAATTTGCAAAAACCCAGTCTTATTACAAGTCTACGCATTAAGACTGATCCTCGTGCAAACATTCAAGAGTCTACTATCAGCCGTGATTCTAGATTAGTCAGTCAGTTATTTCACACTCTCGTTTACAGATATGGATGTATATGTCTATATTTCGAAATTAGACTAAATCCCATTATAGTCGGTTTTCACACAAAAAAAAACTGCATTTAGCATATTTACCAGGGATAGAGCAGAAATATCCATGCTTTCGAAACAAAATTACCATCGTTCTCCACTCATAAACAAACGTTGTTTTTATAAAAACAACAATAATGGGATTTCGCCTGACGATTTTGCAACAACAAAATACTATGGTATCCCAAACAAGCAAGCCAAACTCTGTTCTATTAATAGACACAGGCACGGTCGACGAAGGGGTTTTTGTTGTAACAGACAAAACAAACTTACATGGTTATGTTACTTCGTTCAGGTTGAACGAAAGCATAACAAAGTGGAGAAAGATGTAAATGTTTATAAGTGCGGTTGTAAGATTTAGAAGATTTTCCAAAAGAATTTTAGTTTTATGTAATTCTTTTGTTCCTCTTCTATTGAGCTTACGATCTCGTCACTTGGGTAAAAAATGTTTTTTGTCATAGAAGTTATTTTTTTTTTTTTTTTTTTTTTAAATAACTTCTGGGGAGAATATCCCAGACAAGAAACAAGGGAACTGATGAGGATTGGTGGCTCTTTCCGAAACCTAGGTATTCCCTGCCTTACCCCCTGGTAAACATTACCATCGTTCTCCACTCATAAACAAACGTTGTTTTTATAAAAACAACAATAATGGGATTTCGCCTGACGATTTTGCAACAACAAAATACTATGGTATCCCAAACAAGCAAGCCAAACTCTGTTCTATTAATAGACACAGGCACGGTCGACGAAGGGGTTTTTGTTGTAACAGACAAAACAAACTTACATGGTTATGTTACTTCGTTCAGGTTGAACGAAAGCATAACAAAGTGGAGAAAGATGTAAATGTTTATAAGTGCGGTTGTAAGATTTAGAAGATTTTCCAAAAGAATTTTAGTTTTATGTAATTCTTTTGTTCCTCTTCTATTGAGCTTACGATCTCGTCACTTGGGTAAAAAATGTTTTTTGTCATAGAAGTTATTTTTTTTTTTTTTTTTAAATAACTTCTGGGGAGAATATCCCAGACAAGAAACAAGGGAACTGATGAGGATTGGTGGCTCTTTCCGAAACCTAGGTATTCCCTGCCTTACCCCCTGGTAAACATTACCATCGTTCTCCACTCATAAACAAACGTTGTTTTTATAAAAACAACAATAATGGGATTTCGCCTGACGATTTTGCAACAACAAATTACCAAAAATAAAATTTTCATAAATATATATTTTCCTCTCAAATGTTCTTTCACAGTGCAAAGCCGTCCACTACAGTACTATCTGTACTATCTATGTTGGAAGTTTCAACCTGCGCTATTGCCCAGTCTTTCAAACCAATATATATTTTCTAGTTTCACTTTTTTCGGCATATCCCCTTATCGTACAAATGCTCACTCTCTTTTACGTGCTACACGTCATCACTTGTTAGTGGCAACAAATGTTTAAAGTCTCCTAGGTTGTTTGCTCAACTTTTGCTGTCGTTTTTTTTTTTAATAACAAAATGCTGCAAACTCTAGCTTCTTGTTCTTGGAGATAGCAGTAGCTAATGGAATAAGTTTTGCTCTTTGTATAATCATTAATTCCCTACTTTATATCGCTAATTTATGTACATATAAAATGTACAGCGACTACACTTTGCTGGTAGCCCTTTTAATGTTATTCGCAATATTCCATTGAATTTATGGGAAAATATATTTTATCTATTTAAGATGTAATTGTGAGTCTAGTCTAATCCATGCAATTGTTTTTAAGCGACATAAATTTATTTTTTAATAAAAGACCTAAGAGTACGATCAGAGCAAATGTATGGTCAAAAGCTGGTCAATTATAAAATACTACTGGTTTGTCTGATTTACCGACCAAAGCCGGATCGATTTTAAAATTCAGCAGAAATTCTTTCCGCTTGCGTACGTAAAGATGAAACATAAATATGCCTTAGGAATGAATTTGGGTATAAAATATCGATATCACTCGATTTGAGCCAATTCAGCCGATAGTTTTTTTTAGTGTTGGTCATAAAATTGTTGTATTTGTATGTTGTATGGTGAGATGAAAAACCTGCAACCAAATTCAGACTGCTGTCATTTCTAAGCCACTCGTCCGACAACTGTTAAAATTATTCCAGTGACAGCTTATTATATTGTTTGCAAGCGTACAAAAGCATTCAAGCGTGATAGTGTGATTTATTTTTATTTGGCTGGGAAACCATAAGTGGCTATCGTTAGAGCACACCAGCTTTTAAATGTGAATAAATCTTTTGTCATCGCTCATGACCTTGATACTGGTAGCGTAGCCCGACGTCAGGGAACATCAGCAGAAATGGTTCGAAAAGTAAAGAAGCGACTTGATCGAAACCCGCGTCGCAGTGGCCGAAAAAGGGATCGTGAGTTGAACATATCGCCGCAGACCTTGGACATTTCAACAGGACTCGGCACCATCGCACGCGCCACCCAAGAATGGTTACAACATGAGGTTCCTCGATTAATTTCCAACGCACAATAGCCACCAAAATCTCCGGATACCAATCCGTTGGACTATGGTGTCTGGAGTATTTTGAAAAGCAAGTTTGGCACTAAAAAATACCAAAGTGTCGATCATCTCAAGCAAACGCTTCACCGAGAATGGGCTGAGGTATTTTGCTCAGAGCAACATTCGGGTAGAGTGTGACGGTTTCCTTGGCCGTTTGAAGTCCATAATTCGTTCCAAGGGTGACCAATTCGAACAAATCTAAACTTATTCAAAAATTTGATGCTATTTCCGACATGTTTTTCTTTCATTCAATAAAATTAATATTAATGCCGTTTGACTTTGTTGCAGTTTTTTTATCTCACTCTGTATATACCGAATTTTAAACGATTTTCCTGAAAAATGTGTCTAAAACTACCAGAATATAGGGAAATATTGATACATGGGGGGCTATAGCGATATGTAAACCGGTACAGGCAATGATTTTCCACAGGAGGTAGAACCCGTTACACACTGTAGGTACGAATATTAAACCATTCCATCTGAAAATGTGGCTCATATCGTGGGATGTTCAGTTATATGGGAAGTATAAGAAAAAGTGGAACTATATGGGCAATATTCTGCCACAGGAGGTAGAATCGTGAAAAACTTCCAGTACCGAATATTATATTAATTGTTTTAAAATATGGAAGTACTACAGGAAAACGTGGACTTATAGAGACAATGTTTTGAGGTAGAATAAAATCTAGAAACTGAATAATAACCAATTCCGTTTAAAAATGTCGTTTAAATTCCTAAAATACCGAATATCGAGAGGTACATTTATATGGGGCTATAAGATAAGTGTAGTTATATAGATAGTGTTTTACTGCAGGAGGTAGGAACCGTTACAAACTCTAAGTACTGACTTTTAAAATCGGATTTAAAATGTTATCTAAATTATAAAAATGTCGAAGACTGGGGGGGGGGGGGGAAATGTTACATTGGGATTCTACGAAAACGGGAGCCGACATATCCCATTTACGAACTTAACCTGTCTACTGACAAAATACCCAATTAGTTCCAAAGATTGCGTGGTTACAACAGACAGACGGACGTCGCTAAATCGACATAGAATTTTCACCTGATCAAGAATATATATACTTTGTTATGAGTATTTCGAGGAGTTACAAACTGAATAACAATGTTAATGTACCCTCGACCGTATGGTGGGGGTATAAAAACAGCAGAACATCTTAAATCTGGCAGAACATTTGTATTGTGACTACATCAAAATGCCTGTGAACATACTGCTAAGTACAATAAAATAACATCCATGAACTTACGAGATTGAATTTATAAAATTTAAAAAATTGTTAAGCTGTAGGTTTTAATAGCTTTTTAGAATTTGCACTGAATTATACCACTTACACAATATTTATAGCCACTACGTCATTTCGTTTGTAACTAATCGAAATAATAATTTTAATCTCGCTGAAGTCAAAACGAATTGAGATAGAAAGATAAAATTTTGCACAGATCAGTCTTTTGATGGGCTATATCGGCTCACGATATCGCATAGCCCCCCTATAACGGTACCCCCGATATTCGGTATTTTGATGATTGTAGGAATTGTCTCAAAATCCACACCAGGAGTTTCTTTCGAGTACTTTACCCCCTGAAAGAGAATTATCTATATCGATCAATGATATTGTATAGCTCCCATATAACGGGAATCTAGTTCTCGTACACGTTTGCCATAAAAAACTGAAGGGAAAGAAGACAAACATACGTACACTGAGGGAAAAATCCCGTTGCGAAATCAAGCACGTATGTTGTCATTTTCGCAACGACCCGTTGTTATATTTTTCAACAACGGCTGTTGGTGAATTGTGCACGAACGTGCTCAAATTGACACCGAGACGTGGTCAACTTTCGGTACCAACAACAGCCGTGCTTAATTTGTCCATTTGTAATATTGGTAATTGCAGCCGATTACACACGAGTAAAAAATGACAACGGTGGTGCATGATTCACACACGGTCGTTGTCAATATGACACCGGTCGTGTATGAATTATGCACCACCACCTGCATAATGATGCACCACCGTTGTTACTTTGTACACCGACGTGCATGAATCGTACACGATCGTTGCCATTTTAGCAACTACCGTGTATGAATCATGCACCACCGTTGTCATTTTTTTTACTCGTGTGCAATCGGCTGCATATTTACCATTTTTTCCGTGTTATTGAAAGAGAAAGGACGCATTGTGCAAAAAATTTATTGAAAATGAATAATAATTCGCAAGATCCTCAAAATATCATTGGTGAGTTGTTAGAAATCGATGGCAATATTGTTGTGGTTCGCGATACAAACCATTGCAGCAGTCAAGATGCGGAAAACAATGAGGACGATTATATGTTAAGGGAGTTCTTAAAAGGAATAAATATGGAGTCGCTTTTTGAACAATTAAAAGGTAAGTAAATAAAAATGAATTTTTCAGTTAATCAGTGTAATTAACAAAGAATTTTCTTTTTTGTTCTTTTAGCATCACATGTAACATTTCGCAGCTTGCAGTACTTGAAAAAAGAAGATTTAAAGGAAGCAGTGCCACCATTGGGACTGCGTGTTGAATTCAGAGAAAAGCTCTTTGCTTGGAAAAAACGAAAGGTACGTATTATTTGTTTTACAGAGTTGAACTCAGTATTAATATTGTCATAACAATAGCTCGGGATTGATGACGAAACTATGTCAGTTCCATCTAAAATAGGTGAATGGTGGAAACGCAACGAGACACCTGCAAGTACTCCTGGTACTCCCGACACTACAGGTTCGAACTGCTCAAAAGCCAAAGGAATTTTGTCAGAGGTAAGGTAAGAGTAATATTTGTGTAAGCATAGTTAATGTAGTTTTTTTATTTAATATAGGATCTAACGGAATTGTTAACACATACCTCGAAGGGGAAACTAGCGCTTGAATGTAGTAGCGTTAATAAGAAATTAAGTGACGAGCAAAGAGATGATATAATTAATATAATTATTGAAGATATTTTAACCAACAATGTTACTCTTTACACTCAAGACTATATGCGCATATTGGATGAAATTTGTTCCGTTTTTCCTCTTGAAAACGAAATGAGGGTAAGATTAACAATATAAACAACGTATCTGATTATGTAGTTTCTTAACTTATAATATGTCTTTATTTTTAGGATTATTATTACATTTCAAGAAAAGGAAAGAACAACGCAAGCGGAAAACTTTATGCCAAGTATAGAAACAAGAAGTCCAAAAGAATAAAGCTTTTGATTTCCGAGCCTAGCACAAGCAAAGCAGCAACTCACACATCTCCTAATTTTTGTAACAAAGATGTTCCCGAAATTGATGAATCAGTTGAAAATTCATTGAAAGCTTCCTTACTAAGAGAATGTAATGATTGGGGATCGATCTGCGAAAAATGGAAAAGATCTTTTAACATACGGCAAAGAGATATAAAAAATTTAAGTAGCCATACATTTCTCCTTGAATGGACGAAGTTGTCCGATGCAAGAGCTTCAGAATTGGTAAGTAGCCATGAGCTATTTATTTGTATATGGATACTAATGTTTCGTTTTAGGTCAACATTGATTTCGATATTATGTATCCACAGAAAGGCAATCTTCTACTTTCTAAATGGGACCAATTTAAGAAAAAAATTTACAATTATTATGGGAAAAATATTCATAACGAACATTGCAAACAACTCTTCGCAAATGTTTTGACGGCAAGCAGCATAGGTAAATTTTAATTCCTGATTTATCATAAACATTAAAAGTAATATTTATTTTATATTTCGGTTGCAGATGCTCAAGATTATATATACGCAATACTGTTGAATTCAGTTTTACCATCACCTGCTAGGTTTAAATGTGGAAACGGTAAATTACGAAAAAAAGTAACAATAGCTGATTCGCAGGAAAGTTTCGTACTGCGACTACCGACAATTAACGATTATAAAAGGCAAATTGATACAGTCACTGAAAAGTATTACAATGCTGGATTAACTATACAGCCATTTATAATTGTGGAGGGTTTGTCCGATTTCAATATAAAAGGTTTTTATGTTTTTTTTAACCACAATTTGTTAAAATTTCAATCGTTCCTCGAATGTTTAGATACATGTTTTAAAATTTTTCATGCACTTTCTTTAAAATATCCAAATGCCTGCCAAATTCCATGGATTTTTATCCAAAAATATTTTTATGAAATTAATACTGTATATGATATAAAATCAGTTAATTTGACTTCACTTATTAATTTCTGCAACAATAATTAAAGTACAATTCAAAATGTATATTTGCTTTCGTTGCCGTAAGCATTTTGATAAGGCAAATCTTTTAATAGCTCATTTGAAAACAGACCATTTAATGTCCACTAAATTTTTAAAAGTACAATGCGTTCAGGACAACTGTAAGCAAACATTTACAAAATTTACGTCATTCAGAATTCATTTAGAAAAACTTCACAAGAATCACACAAAAGCTCCACCAATGGTTAAAGCCATTAATGTGCCAGTTGAAATGTCATCATCAAAAGAAAATGATTATACAAACAGTGAAACTGTTATTAACAACAATACAATAGAAAAGGATTTAAATGTTTTGAAAAAGAAAACCTTATATCTGTCTTTACAATTACATGGTCAAAGCTATATGCCTAGAAATCATGTTATAGAAATACAACATTCTGTTTCAATTCTGCTTTCATCCATTTCATGTACAATTGAAAAATATATAACTGATCATCCAAATTATGAAGACTTAAGGTACTTACTAAACTTTTGTAAAAATCCTTTCGAAGAAACTAGAACGGAATATAGACTTTTAAAAATTTTAAAAGAACTAAACTTTTATGATGATCCAAAGGTTTATGTAATTAGCAATCAAGTCTCGGAAATTGTTATCAGCGGAAATCCCAGTTTAGGTCCAAAGTTATCCAATATTTATATAATGCCACTGAAATTCATGATAAGTGCCCTTTTTAAAATTCCAAATCTCTTAGATTTGACATTAGAAAACTCCAAAAAAATCCTAAATTCACCTGTTTTACAAAATTTTACAAACGGTGAGTTATATAAAACTAAATTATTAAAATATCAGTACAATTTAGTTATTCCCTATGTCCTTTACATGGATGATTTTCAAATTAATAATCCTCTTGGAACCCATACATTTTCCATATGTGGTTGTTATATTAGCTTTCCTTCAATGCCACAGCACTTGTTGTCAAAACTTGATTATATATTAACTGCTGCGTTTATACCATCAAAGGATTTAAAAGAACGTGGAAATGAAGTTTCATTTCACAATCTTGTAGAAGAGTTAAAAATTCTAGAAGAAGGGGTTGAAATTTGTGTTCAACAAAGTGTTCAGAAGGTGCATTTTATTTTAGGTGTAATTATTGGAGATAATTTAGCAGTTAATAGTATTTTAGGCTACGTGCAATCATTTAACTCTAAAAGATTTTGCCGGGTATGTAGAAGAAAAAAGTCCCAAATGCAATTCGACGCAATTCAGCATTTAGATAGTTTAAGAAACCAAGAGAATTACAACTCAAATGTATTGGAAAATAATTTTCAAGAAACAGGTATTAAAAACAAGTGTATCTTCGAATCTTTACCAAATTTTAACGTCACTGAAAATTTTTGTTTTGATATTATGCATGACATTTTCGAGGGCATATGTGTCTACGATATGTCTAATGTAATTCTCGGGCTGATTCAAGAAAATATTGTTACGTTAGATTGTATTAACAGCAGAAAATCTTTATTCCAATTTGGAGAAATTGAAGTGGGAAATAAATCTGGACCACTAGATTTATGTAGATTGAAAAACTATAACTTAAAAATGACAGCTAGTGAAACTATGTGTTTTACTAATTTTTTACCTTTAATGGTAGGCGATTTAATTCCTTTCTCCAACGATCACTGGAAAGTTTTTATAATATTATTACAAATAATCGATTTACTTTTAAGACCAAGTTATATAGAAGACGATTTAATAAAATTGGAAGAATTAATTAGAGATCACCATTCACTTTATATAACATTATACGGTTCGTTAAAACCGAAACACCACTTTCTTGTCCACTATCCCACAGCTATCCGAAAATGTGGTCCCCTTAAATATCTCTGGAGCATGAGATTCGAAGCTAAACACAAGGAAGCAAAAGCCTATTTAGGAAATACTACATCAAGAGTAAATCCCTGTCGTTCATTATCTATTAAGTCTGGATTGAAATTTTCCAATTTTTTATTAAAACACGAAGATAACTTAGAACCAAATGTTATCATTAATACGCATACCATCGAAGATTTGGCAAAAGAGGAATATTGTTACAAAAAAAGTAAGCCAGTTTTAAATTACCAAAATTGCAAAGTGTCTGATGACATTTTTTTTAAGGGAACTAGGTATAAAAAAAACTATTATTTAGCAACAAATAATGCCGCAATTGAACTTTTCAAAATTAAACATTTAATAATTGAAAATGAAAATGTTTACATTTTATGTAACCAAGTAAAAGTTAAAAACTTTGATTACCATTTACAATCGTATGAAGTTGGTTCTCTGAATGAGGATACAATTTTTTTAATACCAATTTTAGATTTTATTACTTACCCATTTCACTTATATCCTATGAATAATGGAAAAGTTTATTTCAGATTTAAGTTAATTTAATTTGTTTCTATACATTGAATATATGTAATTCGAATTGTTTTGTTAAATCAAATATGTATTTATATTGAATTTATGTAATTGGTTTCGTTCAATAAAATACTTTTCAAAAAATGTCGTTTCTTCTACTAAGGGTATAAAATGGAAAAGGAACGGATATCAAAAAATGACCACCATTGATTTCAATCTGACAACGGGCGTTGACAATCCGACAACGGAGCGTTGACAATCTGACAACGAAGCGTTGACGATCTGACAACGAAGCGTTGACAATCTGACAACGGGGCGTGCTCGAAATGACCACGTATGTGCTCATTTCATGCACATCTGTTGTTGAAATCGTTGCCAAAATCTCGGTGTCAAAATGACAACAGCGTGCTCATTTTGACACCAAACGTGGTTGATACACTATCATACACGGATGTGGTCATTTCATACACGGATGTTGTCATTTTTTCTCTGGGTGTATTACTTTTCCAACTTCAGATCGCCTTTGATGCTGATCTTGAAGGATCGCCAACTAATTTGGCAAGTTTCTCGTTCTCATACCTTTTGGGTCTAAAACTTGGGCATGTGGAATTTCTTAAGATCGACCCAGGTTAGGTCTTGCTCAATTTACGAAAAATATTTTATAAAGTACTAATTTGACCAAACGACCTAATTTACCAAATTCTTCTTTAGGCTAGCCTCTTGGACTCTTCACAAATATTCGTAAAGATTTTGATATTTGATGGTATAAAAGCTAATGCAAACTTTCATCATCAAAATTATATTAGAAACTCAGGATTATGGTTTAGACCTTGGTGTAACGGTGAAAGTCTATTCATGCGCTTGTTTCTTTTTGGGTAATTGACCTCAGAATGCTGATCGAAAGTCATTGAGAGTTATTCTGGAAGAAACGGGCTTTTTTCAATTTTATCTTGTAAAAGAACATGCCGCTTTAATTTAAATTTTTCCCATCTTAAAAATCATTCCCAGCGAAGTTATTCCCCTTTCAAATTTCATTAAAATTAAAATAAAAAAACACACACACACACGATCCACATTATACATGTATAAAGATAATGAGAAAATCCACAACCTTTTTGTATAAATTTCTTAATACCCCACCAAGCTAAACGTACATACCTGTGTATGTTTGTATGTATGCTGTTAAAACTTCACAGACTCCTTCTTAATAAATTCTCTTCTTAAAATAAACCCTTGCCATGTCGTCAACATGTTCTAAGGTGTAGAGCTTTCAATTTTGCTTCGCGTTAATTCGCATTTTTTTCTCATAATGATTTTTATACCCTCCACCTTGGAAAGGAGGGTATATTAACTTTGTCATTCCGTTTGTAACATCCTTAAATATTCTTCTTTGACCCCATAAAGTATATATATTCATGATCAGCATAAAATTCTAAGTCGATTTAACGATGTCCGTCTGTCTGTCTGTCTGTCTGTCCGTCTGTCTGTCTGTTGAAATCACGATACAGCCCACATTATTTGACGTAGAGCACCAAAATTTAGCAGAGCTATTTGCATTGTGTCTAGGATGGTTGGTATTGAAAATGAGATATATCGGTCCACGTTCTGGTATAGTCACCATATAACGGTACCTCCCGATATTCGGTATTTTGATGATTTATGCCACATTTTTTCACGGATTTGTCGGGAAATTGGTATTTGTAGGTCATAACGGGTCCCTGAGCGTGTGGTAAAACATTGCATGTATAGGTCCACGTTGTGGTATAGCCCCAATATAAAGGTACCTCCCGATATTCGGTATTTTGATGATTTATGCCACATTTTTTCACGGATTTGTCTGGAAATTGGTATTTGTGGGTCATAATGGGTCCTAGTTCGTGCGGCGAAACATTGTAATTATAGGTCCACGTTTTGGTATAGCCCCCATATAACGGTACCTCGCGATATTCGGTAATTTGATGATTTTTGCCACATTTTTTCACGGATTTGTCTGAAAATTGGTATTTGTTGGTCATAATGGGTTCCAGCTTCGGTGGTGAAACATTGCATGTATGGGTCCATGATTTGATATAGCCCCCATATAACGGTACGGTAGTTTTGGCCACATTTCTTCTAATGTTTCTTTTACCCTAAGGTGGAGGGTATTAAAAGTTTGGCCCGGCCGAATTTAATGTTTTTTACTTGTTTTTCTTTTTTTTTGTTTTGCCCCATTCTATATTCAGATGGGCATTTTTATTTTTATCTCACTCAAATGGGAGGAAATTCTATTTTTAGTCAAGGTAAATTAAACAGAACCCCAAAAGAACGAAAAAAACTCAACTAAATACAAATATTTGCCATTTTTTAAGTATTTCTCTTCAGGTGGTGTCCACGCTTCTGCTGGCTATGATGTTAGGAAGATGCAATGCCAATAACCTTGCCATAGTTTGGAATAAAGACACTGATGTGCATGCAACTTTATTGTTCTTGTTGGGCTTTTAGGTGGATTTTCATTTTCATTTTTCTTTTTTTCGTTATCGTTAAAGTGAGAACAACTGAATAGCTTAATGTGTGAAACAATGTTGAGAGAGGATGGATGGACCTTGTTAAGGTAGGCAAATATTAGCATATTTTTAGCAAAGGCTAAACTAAATTGGAATATAAAATCTTAATGGTCATCAAACTTGACTAACGAAGTTGTCTTTGCTCGTAAAAGGGAGATGATGTTAAAAGCAAATGGCAGCTCACGTTTATAGCTGGATCCTAATTGCGATGCAACTGATTATGACTTTAATCAGCATTTCTGTTAATGGAATCGGAAGATTGTTACTTTGGCCATGACTCATTGGAATTTTTGTCAAACAAATCTTTAACTTAACAATTATCGGGCTTGAACGTTACAAATTGATTCGAACCATATCGATAATATCATCCGACCTTTTTTGAAAGATATTATTTGAATTTTGTGAAATAACTGTCGATTTCACGATCAAACAATACTATTAAAATCTCATCAAGACAGTAAGTCAAAGTTATCAACACCATTTCGTTATTAATATTCTGTCGCTCCAATAACCATTTTTGGCAGTTTGCAGAAATCACAAATTTCGAATCGCAATATTGCCGCAATACATTTCAATCAAAATGTCATATCTCAACGAATTCCCCTATTCCAAGCGAACAACACCAAAGGCTAAGGGCAACGTGAAGTGGTGTTAGAAATTAAAACAACGAACAATCTGATCTTAACAAATGACTACCCCCGCACACACACTTATCTGAGAACTTTGATTTTTAAACTCCTAGCATAAGATTACACCGAAAATAATAAATTAATACAAAACGAATATGTCGTCCATACTCAATCCCGGATATATACAAAAAAGTAAAGAAAACTAATGTTAATCAACATATGAGGGGCTTGGGATTGGATTAAATCAAATCAGATGAGAAGCGTAAATCATTTTTCTTATTTTAATAGCTTATCGAAAACGTTAAATTATTAATATAATTCTACGTTTTGATATAACTCTAATAGAAAGATAATCTCAGAATTTATTTATTGCAATGGTCTTGGCCATATTTTCCCATCTATTGGGCTCTTACTTCGGTTTTTAAGACCTAGAAGACTTTTTCACGATAAATTTCAATGTAGGTCCAAGTTGTGAAATATATTTCGAAATATTGATTTTGGCCTAAGCATGAATTCGAAAAAGTACTACTGTTATGTTATCTAAATATTGGTTCTGCCCGTAGGATGTTATATATGGAACTACCTACCTCTCCCAGCTGAGTAGACCTAGGTATGTAAATATGTCCGTCTGTCCTTGTTATTTTATAATCAAGCTATAGGTTGCAAT